GAACCGGAGGGGACCGGCGCCCCAGAGGCGGCCCACCAGAGCCCAACACAACAAACAAGGCAGCGGAGGGGGGAGGGGGGGGCGTCTGCATCCAGGGACGAGTGGGGAGGAGGCGTGGGTCTGTGGCGGCGGCGCGGGGAGGGGGGGGGTCGTCAGTGCCGGCGCAGACTCGACCCGCGGCTTGGCGTGGTGGGGCTCGGCGTGGTTGCCGCTCGTCAGCTGGTGGCCGCTCGTAAGCTCGGCGCCCGCCGCAGTCCTTCCAGCCGCAGGCTTTGGCAGCTGGCGAGGGGCGCGGAAGCCGCCGGCGCGCGGTGCGCTGTTCGCTGTCGTTGGCGGGCGGTGCCCAGGCCTGCGAGCGTGCGCCGGGAGGGCTGCTGTCACGCGAGGTCCGCGTCGCGCCGCTGTAGCGGTGCCCGGCCCTCGCCTCGCGGCCCGGAGGGAGGCGTCAGTCGGCGCGAGAGGCCGCCGGTGGGACTGAGCCGCGCCGAGCTCCCCACCGCCGGCCTGTGCGGGCGCCATCGGCACCGTCGACGAGGCTGCGCTCGGTGCGGCTGCGGCAGCCGCAGCGCCTGCCTGTGCGGCCGACGGCGCGCCCACACTCCGCCGAGGCCGCTTGAAGGCGCCCGGGCCCGACGGCCGATGCATGGCGTAAACCGGGGGCGGAGCCGCGCCGATCGCGCCGCAGGCGACCGGCGTGGCCGCCACGGCCGCCGCCGCCGTCGCAAAGCCGTCGCTGGCGGCGGCGGCGGCGGCGGCGGGCTCGAAGCAGCTGCCCGACGGGCCGTCGACGCTCTTCAGCCACTCCTGGGCACGCGCCTCGCCGGCCGTGGAGATTGCGATCTTGCCGCCGGCCGCGGTGGCGAAGAGGCCCATATGTGTTGAGACGGGCGGTGGCCGGAGCCGCCAGGCGCCCACCCCGGCGAGCGCTCGCTAAACGGTGAAGCGCGGAAGAATTTTAGGGCAAGGCGTCTATTCGGTGCTCTGCACGTTAGATGCGGCAGGCGTGCGGCAGGTATGAGCTCCTCGCCGCCTGGTGGCCTCCGAGCGCCAGCCGAAGCAACCCTCGTCGTGCCCCGACACCCCCCCGACTCATGATGTGCCGCTCTTGCCTGTGTGGCCGCTGACGGCGGGACCCCGTGCGCGGCTGCGCCGCAAACTCGTCACTGCCGTCGTCACACCTGTCCACAGATGCGACGGGTGCCTGACCGACCGCGACAAACAGGCCTCGTTGCGGATCGCCAGCCCGCCCGTTGCCTCCGCAGACGCCCAGCTAGCCGAATCGTCGTTACCTTCCGCAGACCGACTTCGCGAGCGAGCGGGCGCGTTCTAGATGACGGTCACACCAACTCACCGGCCTTGTGGCCTGAAACCGATTCTGAGCCCTGCCTCCCCCGAGCGGGTATGGCCGCTGCCCGGCGGCCCGCGGTACGATTCGGTCCCACCTCCTCCCCGCCGTCCCGGTTCCCGCAGGTGAATTTGCGATTTCGCCACCCTCCTCGCCGCCCTCTCCGCCACTGTCGCCTCCGCGCTCTCCTCCGCCGTCGCCGCCGCCCTCGCCTCCACCGCCCTCTCCGCCACCCTCCCCGCGGCCTTCTCCACCGCCCTCTCCGCCGCTCTCTCCTCCGCCGTCGCCGCCGCCCTCGCCGCTGCCGTTGCCGCCGCACTCCTCCCCGCTGCCGCCCTCACCCTCCCCGCCGTGCCGTCGGTCTCGCCGTCGCCTTCTTCCGTGTCGCTGTCGCCGCTCCGCCGTCCGTGTCGCCTTCGCCGCCTCCGTCCGTGTCGCCGTCGCCGCTGCCTTCCTCCGTTTCGCCATCCCCGCCGCCGATCTCACCTTTGCCGCCTCAATCCATGTCGCCGTCGCCGTCGCCGCCGTCGGTCTCGCTTTCGCCGCCTCTGTCCTTGTCGCCGTCGCCGCCGCCGCCGTTGGAATCGCTCTCCCCGCCGCCGTCGGTCGTGTCGACTTCGCCGCCTCCGTCCGTGTCGCCGTCGCCGCCTCCGTCCGTGTCGCCGTCGCCGCTGCCTTCCTCCGTCTCGCCCTCCCCGCAGCAAGCTCGCTTGCCGTCGCCGTCGCCGCCATCGGTCTCGCTTTCGCCGCCTCCGTCCGTGTCGCCGTCGCCGCCTCCATCCGTGTCGCCGTCGCCGCTGCCTTCCTCCGTCTCGCCCTCCCCGCAGCAAGCTCGCTTGCCGTCGCCGTCGCCGCCATCGGTCTCGCTTTCGCCGCCTCCGTCCGTGTCGCCGTCGCCGCCTCCGCCGTCGGATTCGCCTTTGTCGCCTGCTCCGTCCGTGTCGCCCTCGCCGCCGTCACAATTCGGCATACACACAGTTTGCACATGTGCAAGTTCTTCTTGATGCACACGGCGGTGCAGCCCCCGGCCATAGCGGGCAACTCAAGGCATCGACGCTCTCGCCGAAGCCCCTGTGCACCTCCCGGCACTTGCCGCCGTTTTATTCGGCGCAATGGCCGGCGTTGAAGCTCCGAACCCAGGCGCAGCCGAGCCCGTTTCTTTCAGAGACAATACCAACAACCTCTTTCACTCATTCTTAAAACAGTACCGGCCGGGATTTCGAAGATAGTGCTAAAATGGATACCTGGAGAATGGCATTTAATTTCGCGGACCGGCTCTTAACACCCAGGTCATGTCACCGCTTAATGTGCATGTGCGTGGCCTACGTCAGAGACCAAGTGACCAGCCGTCCGGGCAATTTGTGACCCGTCTACGCCCTCGCGCCTCGGGCGCGGCCGGCCGCCCGGCCGGCTGCCCCGTTGACTTCCCCGCCGCGCGCTACGCGTTCGTGCTACGCGTTCGTTCGCAGTAATCTGGCTTAGTTCAGAGAGGTCGAGTCGTCTCTATGCGTATCACAGCGCGGCGCTGGCCTGCGCAAAGCGGATAGCCCCATGTGTCCTTTTAAAAAGATTTTTGTCCTAACTAAAAGGACAGGTTCATGAAGGGCGCCACGCGCGCCCCCGCTCGCCGGCCCAGTCGTACCTCCCGCACTCCACTTGCCCTTCGCGACTTCCCCGTGCCCGGTGGTGCCGGGGGACGACAGTCGTGGCCTTGTTTTGGACGTTACGTGCCGCCGAAACTTGATCACCGATCACCGTCTGAATAAGTAACTCCTAGAAAACTCTCCAAGGCCGGTGATCGGTGATCAGTGACCAGCCGGTGATCATGCAGCTAGTGGGTGGTGCCCCGGCCGACGTGAGCGTCATCAACCCGCCCGCAACTACCACCTGACGTACGCCGCACTCGGCCGCGGCGAGCTCTCGAATGAAGACGTGCTGAGCCAGCTCACCGCCAAGCGCCAGCTGGCGCGCCACTTCTTATTTATTGGGCTCCGGCCGGGTGTATTCTTTTTTTGCTTGGCCGGCCCTCATGACGGGGTAGGTAGGGTAGGTCTGGGCCCTCCCGTCGGGTTTTTCCCTCTCTTCACGCTGGAATTTTCAGAAAAAGAAAATTTCCGCGGAAATCACGATGTCAACCCTCCCCAAGTGGATGATCTGATGCTCTGTAGGGCCTGAGAGTGGCCTGCCATGTCACAGGAAGGACTGTGGTTGCAGGAGAGTACCACCAACCATCACTTCAGTTGGTATAGTACCCCACCTTCACCCATCCGCACTTGGATCCGTGATTTCTTTTTTAGTTTCCCATAAGTAGGGTAGGTAGGTAGGTAGGTAGGTAAGGGGCACCGCAGGGGCCGTCCAGGTTTTTGCAGAATTTCATCAAGAGGGCCGGCGAAGCAAAAAAAGAATAAAAGCCTCCGCTGGACAGCCGCTCAGCGCGCTCGCTCGCCGCCATCACCTAATCTGATACGCAACTGCCGGCATGAGGCTCGTGAAAAATGTCGCGGGCGTCGACGGTCTCCACATCGCGCTCGACGCCTTTGGCGAAGCCGCCGAGCGGCGCCTCTTCGAGTCTCAGCGCATCCACGCGCCGCAGGAATCGCACGGACCAAACAGCGATGCGGACGGTCGACGTGCCGGTCGGTGCCACCGCCCGCTGCCCGACGACGTCGACCTGTTTCGTGTATGCAACTTGGTCGGCGACTGCGACCTCTTTCCCGGCTACGTCACGCCCGACTACGTATACGCCATCACCTACCCTCCAAAAGCCGCCTTCAACAAGCACCTGGATTCGAGATACCGGTGGGGAGAGACTGTGGTCGGCGTCACGCTGGGGCAGGCCGGCACAGTCTACTTTGAGCCAAACACACAGGCGATCAAGGCTGCAGGCCCCCCCGCCGCCGCGCCGCCCGACGCCGGCGAGGCTGGCGGGGCCGACGCCTTCCGCGTGCGGATCAAGCACTATGACGAATCGGGATCGTTTGCCATCGAGCTGGAGCTGCCCCGCCGCTCCGTGTACGTCATGAGCGGCGAGGCGCGCACGCTGTGGAAGCACGGCATCCGGCAACAAAAGCCTGGCTCCCTGCCACCGCCACCGCCGTGGAATCCCTACAACATGCGGCGCGCGCTGACGCTTCGCGCGACAAAGGCGTTCAGCGACGCATGCCTGCAGGAGCGGCTGCGGCAGGCGACGGACGAGGCCGAGCGCGCCGCTCTCCGGCGGCGCATCGCCGCGCAGGACAAGTTCCGGCCCCAGAGCAGCGCTGCGAGACTGAACGATCGCGACCTCGCCGAGCTGCGAGAGGAGGGCGAGCGGATGAGGCGGCACGTCGCGACGCAGCGGCACCGGCACGCTCGCTTCCCGCCGTCGGAGCTCCACTTCCCCCTGCCCGAGAGCGTGGCGTGCGGTGTGAGGGCGGCCGCAGACTCATGGCCGCCGAACGGGGGCTTGCGCCTCGGCGGCGCCGCCTCGCCGCTCGGGTCCGTGGCACTCGCCAGCGAGGAGGAGGAGCTGCAGGAGGCGATCCGCGCATCGCTCCGTGCTGCAGGAGCGCCCGTCGCAACGGAGCCCGGCTCGAGCGCCGGCGGCGGCGGCGGCGGGGAGGGCGATCCGATAGAGTTGGACACGTCGGATGAGGAAGCGCCTTTGACGGCGGCGGCGGCGGCGGCGGGATCGGCTGCGGCTGAGACGGCTGGAACGCCAGGCCCACCCGCGGCAGCGGCGGCGGCAGCGGCGGCGGCAGGGACCAAGCGCGCGCTCGAGGCAAGACGCGCGGCTGAGGAGGACGGCGACGGGGAGGAGGAGCTTCGCCGCATGCGCGAGGCGCGGCTGGCGCGCCTCGGAGGGGCCTGAGCAGCTGGGCCTGAGGGTCGGCTCAAGCGCCAGCACGTCGACGACACGTCGAGAATTGGGGGCGCGGCGTGCGTGGACATGGCATGCTCATGTGCTTGGGCGATGCGAAGCGTGGAATGGCTGAGACGGGGCCTCGGCTCACCGCGGCTACGCTGCATGCAATGCCTGCGGTCTCGGAAGAACTCACCTCGTTCGCCGCCGAAGAGACGCTGTGAAGTGATGCGGTATGCTACTGCAGAGATTACGTTTTTCCTGCACACGGTACTCTGACATCTGACTGGTAATCGAAGTGTGTGTGGCGCTGGCCACATGCACCTCTGCACGGGCCTCCCCCCCCCCCCCGTGTTCGGGTTCGCCCTCAAACGTTGCTCCCGCGCGCCGCGGCGCCTCGTTGACGTTGTCTTTTTTACTTGTTGCAGCATCTTTTCACGGTCCTCGGTCGCGACGGATGCGACCGGTGCTGGATTCTATTATGAGAGTCGTGCATGGTCTAACTACCAATGATCAGCACCGGCTGCACCTTCTGACCTTTTCAGCGGTCGGTCGGCAACTCCACCACAGTTGGCTCGTCCTCGTCCTCGTCGGCCAAGTCCACCTCGATGTCGATTCGGAAGCGTTCGAGGGCAAACGCGCGAAGCCTTGCGAGCTAATGCGGGGAGGGAAGGACGGGTTGAGAGGGGGAGGGCAAGCGACTCACAAAAGAGTGGGGGACACGCCTCGGCGGCGAGAGCGGGCGCGAGAGCTTGTTGCCCCTCCGCCTTGGCGAGCGGTTCCGCGCCCGCGCGCGCGGCGAGTCCGCCGAGCGCCGACCTTGAAAGCAAGGACCGGGGGGGGGAATTTAGGGGGGGAACGGGGAAAAGGCCCCCCCCCCCCCCCCTCCCTCCCTCCCTCCCTCCCTCCCTCCCCCCCCCCGTGCGCGCCGCAAGAAGTTGTCGGCCGAGAGCTCGTCGTCAAAGAAGTCGGGCGGCGCGAACGCGAGCTGCGCCAGCCGCGGCCCGGCTCAGGCGGGGTCCGGATAGGGGGGACGGCCAAGGGTGGAAGGGCAGCCACGGCCGAGGGGCATCGCACCTGCGCGCGGAGGGCCTGCACGAATCCAACAAAGAGCGCGGTGCGCGCCTAGACAGCACAAGCGTTGTGAGGGCGATTTCCGAAGCGGCGCCGAAAAGGCGGCGCCGAAGAGGACGTGTCGCGGGCCTTGAGCGCAGCCTCTAGGGTTAGGGTTAGGGTTAGGGTTAGTGTCGCGTGCCTTGAGCGCAGCCTCGCAGCCGCACAGGAGCGACACGAGCCGCTTCCACTGCTCGAGCGACGCGAGGCAGGAGAGGCGGAGGAAGAGCAGGAAGGACAGCTGCAGCTCGCCGAGCAAACCCGCCTCGCACGCGCTCAGCCCGTCGGCCGCGCGAGCCGGCAGCCGACTCGAGTCCGGCGGCGGAGAGTACTCGTGCGCGAGCAGCCAGCCGAGCCACTCGGACCTAGAAGGTTCCTAGAAGGTTCCTAGAAGGTTCCTAGAAGGTGCGCGAGCAGCCAGCCGAGCCACTCGGACCTAGAAGGTTCTTAGAAGGTTCCTAGAAGGTTCCTAGAAGGTGCGCGAGCAGCCAGCCGAGCCACTCGGACCGGTCGAGCAGAAAAGAGGTCAGTGCGCCGCCGCGTCGCCCGCCGACGCCACGGCTGCCGTCCGGGCGCAGCGCGTGAGGGTCCACCTCGACGTATCTCGCCGTGGCGGTGACCGCAGCTGCACCGCCACCGCACCCACCTCCACCCTCCGAGCCGCCTTCAGATGCGCCGCCACCTGCTGCGCCACCTATGGACATGTCCATGGCATGTCCGGGACATGTCCCGTAGGCCGCCTCCTGGTACGCCGCCGCCACCTGCTGCGCAGCTCCCCGCCCGCTCCCCGGCAGCGGCGGGTGCGGCCGGCGCTGCCACATTGGCTTCAGCCTGGACAGCTTCAGCCTGGGCGCAGCGGCTGCGGCGGCGCGCCGCGGAGGCGCCTGCCCCGGCAGGGAGGGCCTCGAGGTCTTCGGCTGCCGAGGGACCGACGAGCGTGGGCGGCGCGATGGCGGCCCGGGCGAGGGCCGCGGGCGAGATGTGCTGCGTGAGCGCGGCCCATTCTCCCCAAGTGCCCAGCGGGTACGGGCCGAGCGACGCGTCGAGCGAGAGGCTACGGGACGGCGGCGACCAGTCAGCGGGCGCGAGTGTCTCGATGCGTGGGCATCGATGGGTCGGTGGGATGGGGCTTGGCGCCTCGATGCGGCGGCAGCGTGAGGTGCTGCCTCGGCGGGCGCCAGAGGCAGCAGCAACTCCACCGCCGCATCCCACCGGAACACGGCCACCTCGGAGGGAGCGAGCGAGACGAAGCAGCCTGTGCGATCCATGTCGGTGCCAAAGACGAGGAAGTGCACGCCCTGCGTCGGGATCATCTTCATGCCGCCAAAGCGATCCCCGACGGTGTACGAGCGCAAGTCGACGCCAAACTCCCGGCCCGCGGGAAGGCCGAGGCACACCAGAGTGCCGCCCCGCTGCGTGAGCTGTAGCGCCTCCTCTGGGTCGAGCGACGGCACGTCTGGACCAGACATGCGAGCCGAACACACGACGGTTGGCGACGCTGAGCCTTAGCACCGGCACGCCAACTGGGTTCCGGCTCCTACAGTAGCCAGATACTCGAGTAGGGGCTGCGGCTGACTCGGACCAAAACACCCTACCTACCTACCTATTGCGGCGCCAATCGCCAGTCGCCAGTCGCCAGTCGCCAGGCTCCGTGCCCAACCTACCTACTCCCTGGCCGCGCAGCGAAAAAATACACAACCTTGTGAATACTCGAGTAGGCTCCCAGCGCCCGCCGCGCGCCGGCTTGTACCGCGGTGCGCGCCGCCCGCCAGAGCATGGCCTACTGGGCTCTCGAGGCGTTGGCCCCGTTCGCGGCTAACGCGCCTACTCCCGCGCGAGCGAAGCGGTCCCCCCCCCCCCCCCCCCACACACACCACACCACCACACACACCACCCTACCTACCTATTGCGGGGCCCTCTGGGGCGGTCAAAACCCCGGACTTTGCATAGGGTCTAACCGGGGTCAGCAGACCCCCTATCTGGCTAGGAGCCGGAACCCGGGTTGGGATTCCAAGGCTCGTTGGCAGGTAGGTAGGGTGCAGGGTGGCAGTTTTCGTGTCGGTGTCCCAGACTCCCAGTCGTTGGTCGGACTGTGTGTTTCGCCTTCCTATCAATCAATCGGCCGCCTTTCTCAGCCTCTTCTTCTCCTCCACCCCCCTCGCGCCTCGAGTGAAGGAAGCAGCAAAGGCCGCTTTCGCGCCGCTGGAGAGAAGCGCCGACGAGGGTTGTGGTTGCAACACACTTCGGCGCGGGGCGCACACCGCCTCGGGATATAAAATTCGCCGACCCGGTCACAGCTCACAGCTCACCTCATTCAGCAGAGAGGCCCCTCCCGGGGCCACCCGCGACCACATCCGCCTTGCGCGCCCCGGGAGGTGATTCAAGGCAACCCAATGCCACGTCTCACGACGGAAAGGCAGCGCCGCGCTAGACGGCCTGTGCCTCGATCTCCTTTTCCCTGACACGCTGCTGCCGATCCCACTCGCGGTTGAGAGTCTCTGCGCGGTCGCGCTGCGCCGCGAGCGCCTCGAGGCGGCTCTTCTGCTCCTCCTCCAGCGCCTGCGCCACCCAGCGCCTCTCCTCGCCCAGCTCCGCCTCTCGTTCCTGACGCGCCTTCTCTGCCTTGCGCTCCATCTGCTCGGTAAGTGCCTCCCGCATGATTTTCGCCGTGGCGGACGCTCGCTCCTCCCTGAGCCTGCGCGTCGTCGCCACGGACGGCTCCGCGGCTTCCGCAGCCGCAGCCCATTCGTGGTCGGCAGTACGCTCGCGCTCGCGCTCGCGCGGACGCTCCTGCCTTTGTGCGTCAACGTAGCAGCGCATCTCAGCCATCCGCCGCCGTTGGTCCGCGTGCTTGAGCCGCTCCTCCCGCTCGGACAGCTCTCGCTGCTCGAGCGCGAGAGCGTGTGATTGCGCCGCTGCCGCCTTGCGCCGCTCGAGGTACTCCTCATACCGCCGATAGGCCGAGTCAACCGCCGCCTCGACGGCGCGCTGTGTCGTGGCCTTGGCTCGCGCTGCGCCCGCAATCTCTGCGGCTAGGGCGGCGGCCGCTCGCTCCGCCTCCTTCTTTTCGTCCCGACCCGATAGCGCAGCCACACGGGCAAGTAGCGCCGCCTTCTCGTCCGTCTGCGCCAATTGCCTGTCTAGCGCGTCCCTCTGCCGCTCAGCCGTGGCCCGGGCGGCTGCACGAGCCTCCTCGTTCGTGCGAAAGGGGTTCCATCCGTCGACGCCGACGACGACCCGGCTAGCCGCATCGCGTTTCATCTTCAGCTCATGCTGGTCCCGCAGCTCCCTGGCCACGCCCCGCTCGGAATCGCGCCGATGCTCGTGCAGCCGGAGGTCCTGCACGAGCTCGGCGCGCAGCCCCTGCAGCATATCGGCGTGGGCCTGGGCCTCCTCTATTTGCTCGGTCTCTCGCGTTGCCTTGCTACTCGCCAGCATTGCGTCGTGCGACTCGACGAGCTGCTTCAGCGTCGGCAGCTGAGGCTTGCGTCTGGCGGGCCGCCGAGGCCGTTGGAGTGGAGCGCGAAGCGAGGCAAAAGAAGGCTTGGGTGGCTGCCCCTCTTTTGCCCTCCTTGGCAAGAGGCCCGGCACGTCCGCGCCTGTCAGGCCAAGGGAGGTGGCCGCAGCCACAAGATCCTCGAACGCCGTGTCGTCCGCCCGCACCATTGGTTTTGAGCGCCCCGACTCGGGCGCGCTGCTGCACACGGAGGATGCGGTACCAGGGCGTCTCTTGCCGTCACCAGCGGAGAAGTCAAAGGTGATGGATTTATTCTCGCACATCAGTCGACCGATCGGGCCAAAGTCGACCAGCACCACTCCAGCCTCTTCGTCCGCACAGGCGGCACCGAGGTGGTCGACGAGGTCACGGAGCGCGGCCTCGACGGTCGCGTGCGAGATACGCTCACCAACACGATCAGTTGTGATCTGAGCGAGGCGCCGCATGTCCATAGCGGCGGCCGCGGTGGCAAGCACGTGCGTTTTGGGTCGCCTTTCATGGAGGCCGTGGCAGTGTGCAAAGGCCTCATTCAGGATAAACATGCGGCTCGTGACATCAGTTCCAGCGACCGAGTCATGCCGCACGCCGACCTCTCCCAGACCCAAAAGCTGCACGCCGCGACCAGAGTCGAGCTCCTCGGCCAGCCAGGCAATCAGTGCCTCCCATATGCACGTCCTGTGGGGGTGGCCGGAGGGGGAGGGTCAAACTATTTGACCCGTTCTCAGAAGAGGAGTCGTCTAGAAAGACGTGGAGCATCTGGGTACATGTTACATGAGCCTCGTGTCGACCGCACTTCGTATGGGCGCCTCTACGACCCGTGCGAGGAGCGCACTCGTGTTCAGCATTCCAGAGTCGACCGTTTCGCGCCGCGACCGCACGCCGGGGGCACGCCTCAGTTGCCGACCGTTTCGTTCCGAGCTCGCGCGAATTCACCCAGGGTGTGAATCAGCCTCTCACAGACCAGCGCACAGCGCCATAGGAGGTATTTTCTTCTCAATAACAAGGCTGTGAAGCCCGAGCGCCGTCGACCGCACCGACTACGGCACAGCCTCCGGCAGCGCCCGGGGCTTCGCCCAGCACCACTCGCAACAGCTCTCGCGCGCCGCCGTCTGTGGCGACGCGCAAAACATCAACAACGCTGCTCGCAACATGCGTGTCGCGCACTCGTTCATGACCGGTCTCAATGTCCCATCCCCCTGCGCGCGGGCCTTCTAGGCCCGCGGGTAGTCTCCCCCCATCCCCAGGGCCTCCAGGGCTCGCACCTCAACCTCACACAGACCAGCGCATAGCGCCATAGGACGTATTTTCTTCTCATAACAAGGCTGTGAATCGCGCGAATTTTCAGGGTGTGAAAATCGCGGCCACAAGTCACACAGGGCCCGCTCGTCCATGCGACCGGCAAAGGCTGGGTCAAAGAGCACAAGGGACAGTACTACGACGCGCTCCATGTGACATGCGGAATCGTCAAAATTTGTCTCGTCGAAAGCCAGGCGGCATCGCGCCGCCAACCAAGAGAATCATGTTCAACTTCGCCAAAGAGGTCGACCGCACCGACTACGGCACAGCCTCCGGCAGCGCCCGGGGCTTCGCCCAGCACCACTCGCAACAGCTCTCGCGCGCCGCCGTCTGTGGCGACGCGCAAAACATCAACAACCGGCTGCTCTGCAACATGCGTGTCGCTCATTCATGACCGGTCTCAATGTCCCACCCCCTTGCGCGCGGGCCTTCTAGGCCCCCGCGCGCCGCGGGTAGTCTCCCCCCATCCCCAGGGCCTCCAGGGCTCGCACCTCAACCTCTCACAGACCAGCGCGCACAGCGCCATACTTGGAGCACTTGGAGTGTGCAGAGTCATCAACCGCACGCCCAGGACCGGCGCGGGGAGCTAAGAAGCGCACCGCCATAGAACGTCTTCTCAACAACAAGGTCGTGAACAGCGCCATCGGAGGAATTTCTTCTCAATAACATTAGTCTGTAAATACACAACGTCTGTAAATACGCAAATAAAAAGGTTCCGCGCGAAATCTGTGTGCAGACCAAACCCGCCTAGAACGACGATGGCGCACTTGCTTAGCGGCGCCTGCCTGGGGAATAGGGAGCAGGCCAGATGGTTTCTCTGAGTAGCGCGAGCGCAGACGGGGACGGCGATCAGCAAAGTAGCATGATGAGGCTACGGCGCGTATAATGAAGAGAGAGGAACACATCGAGTGGCTGAGGAAGCTCTTCACTGGGTGGAAAGAGGCTCGGCCGGCCTTGAGGGAGTCGCAGAGGAGGGATGACGCAGGCAACGCAGGGACGGGCCAACAGCCAGTGGGACGAACGAGGGCCGCGACGGCGGCTCAAGCGGGAGGGAGCGGCGACAGTGGGCAGCGAGCGAAGTGGGTGAGACTGATGATGCTCCTTCGACTTAGGGAGCGGTTCAGCTGCTGGGCGGGCTTCAGGGTGGTGCTCACGCGAAAAGGAATCGAAGCGATGTACAAAAAGCATACAAGAAGGGGAGAAGGAAGAGGAGAGACACCAGTGATGACGAAACAGAAGCTAGCGCAGACGAGAGCAGGGCAGACCCGGGGACTGGGGAGCCGGAGCAGACGGCATCGGCCGCCGAGGGAACGTTGGGAAGAGGCACGAGGAGGGCGGCGACCTCGACCGACTATGGAGGACCCGTCACCAGACGACGCAGGGCAGACGACGGGGAGGCGGAGCAGACGCGCAGGGCGAGACGAGGGAGGGAGCAGGACTTTGCGGAGATCAGCAGGAGGATGTACGAAGAGATTAGGAGCAACAGGGACCCGAGGGACCATGTGGAAGACGGCTAGTGCTAGTCCCCCATCGGGAGGACGACCCCGGCTAAGTCGCCGACCACACCCACAAAGAACCCTGCACAAAGATCGCAAGGGCGGGGACCTGTTCCTTTTTACCCACCTCACAGTAGAGAGGACAGAGGTGTCCGTTTTTGTTTATTTATTTATTTGTGTG